TGCTGAGGATCGACATTGAATTCGAGATTGGCTTCAGTCTTCTGCGTTAAAGTAAGCAAGCGACGCGGAGCGGGCGTGGTGCTGTTGTTTTTGGCTGAAGAGTCGGATTCCAAGGGTCCGACTGTGTCTCTCCATTCAAGCCAGTGGCGAGTCTTCTCAAACTGATACGGGGGTAGAAACGGGACACAGGAGTACATCCCTCTCTGGCAAGCATGAAAGTCCCAGAAAGTGACCGATTGCGACTCTTTCCACAAACCAATGGTGACTTGAGTCAAAGAGTCTCGCAGTGACGCCCCATCCCGCAAATTCATCCCGTAAAATGTGTGTTGAGATGCTTCCTCTCCCAACGCTCTGCGGGCCATGGTCGTAATACCAGAGTTCATCCCGGCTTCCAGCCAGCAACAGCCAGCAAGTTCTTCGTGAATCTTGCTGACAGCTTGATGGAAGAATACTGGTCTTCGGGTGTGTTCTCTGACACGTTGAGGCCAGGGTAAACACTCCGTGTCCCGGTCAAGACAGGTCTCGACAGGTAGAGAAGGTTTGCGAAAAACGAGTCCCGCTGCAAGAACTTCGAGATCGTGAAGAATTGGCTCCGTGAAGCGCGAATGAAAGGCGTACGGGACGTCGAGGATCTTTGTCTTGGCATTTCGAGTTGAGGGATCCACTTTGATGAATTGCTCGGCTCGTTCCACCTCCGATTTCGATCCGGAAATGACAGTCAGTCGTGGGCCATTGTGGCAGGCCACCTCAACATTGACCGTATCTGAGTCCAAGAGTCCGCCCAAAGAAACCGGATCAGTCTCGACCAGCAGCATGGAACCAGGGTCCGGACCCCATTTCTCCTTCATCAGTCGCGCACGACCTGCCACAAGCTTGAGGCCGTCGGATAGTGACAATATGCCCGAGACACAAGTAGCTGTAAGCTCGCCAAAGCTGTGGCCTACCAGTTTGGCGACTGTGAGACCAGAATCCATCCAAGCCTTCGCACAAGAGTACTGGATGCTGAAAAGTGCAGAATGCAAGATGACAGGGTCTTCAATTGGCTCGGATTGGAAAATGTAAGGAAGTATTCCAGGAAATCCCTGAGACTTAAGCTCGTTCTGGCAGCAGTCAAGATGGTGCCGGAGAAGGGCACAGCATTCGTATGTGTCCTTATCAAGAGCGACGAATTTCGAATTCTGGCCACCGAATGCCATGACGACTGGCCGAGATTTACTCGGTAACGTTACATTCCAAACGTCCGAGGTACTGGACTCATGAAGACGCTCGGTCAGTTGATTCATGCTTGCGGCGTCGAAAGTGGCTGCAAAAGGCAGCGACGGATTTTGCCTCGACACTACGCTGAAGGAAAGATCAGCCAAGCGGGCTTGTTCCTGTTGGTTGTGCGACATCGAAAATTGCTTCAGGAATTGTTTGCGCAGAACAACAATATTGGCAGACAGGGACTGTTGGCTAGAGGCTGTAACGATGAACGGGAACGGGATAGCCTTCGGAAGGCGGCTGTTGTCCGTCGTCCGAGTAATGACCACACATGGCGATGGCGGCTCTGTAACAATAAGTGCTGCGTTACTTCCCGAGGCTCCATAGTTGTTAACGCAAACTGTCAGTGGCCCCGGAGATTTCCATTCAATGCCAGACGTGGTGATGGCGATTCTGTCCGACTCCGAAAGTGTGATCTGAGGGTTCAGTGTCGTGAAGCTGGCTTGAGGGGGGATCCGTTTGTGATGAATCATCAACACAGCTTTGATAACAGCAGCAACCCCAGACGCACTCTCCGTGTGCCCGATGTTTGCTTTGATTGAACCAACATGTAAAAGCTGTTCCGTCTGACGCCGCAAACCACCAAACGTTCGTCGAATACTTTCAAACTCAATCGGGTCACCCACGGGCGTCCCAGTTCCGTGAGCTTCAACATAAGTAACGTCGTCAGGCGTCATGCGCGAGAACCGTAGCACCTCTTCGTAAAGATCAGATTGCGAGGGCCCATGGGGTACGGTAATGTATGTTTCGTTGCTGTTTTGTCTGACAGCAGAGCCAGGGATCACAGCCAAGATCTTGTCTCCCGCTGCTTGCGCCTCTGATAACTTCTTGAGCAAGAGTAGGCCCACGCCCTCTCCTCTGCAATATCCGTCGGCTTTTGCGTCAAATGACTTGCATTGACCCGTAGTGCTAAGAAACTTTCCAGCATTGAGGTTCTGGAAAAAGTTGGGGCTTGTAAAGACATTAACGCCCCCAGCTAGAGCAGCTGTGCATTTCCCAGCAATTATGTCGGTGCATGCTTTGTTGATAGCCACAGCCGATGAGGAGCATGCAGTGTCGATCGTGGATGATTCGCCGGTCCAACCGAAGAAGTTGCTGATCCTTCCGGCCAAAAACGCTCTGAGTGTTCCCAGTGTCGAAAATGCATTGGGTGGGTGCGATGCGACGTTGTCAGCATAATCGTTTGCGCACACGCCGATGTAACAGCCGACATCCTTGCTAGGTGGCTTAGGACCGTTGAAGTAATTTGCAGACTCCAGAGCCTGGTAGGCGACCTCGAGCAGAAGGCGTTGTTGTGGATCCATTGAAGATGCCTCTCTACTTGTTTTTCGGAAGAAGCGATGGTCAAAGGCGTCAACGTCATTGATAAGGTTCGCAAAAAACCTCTGAACCTGAGGAGTTCGCCGAAGACCATTTGTCGAAAATCTCTCGGCCGGTATCTCTTGACAAAGCGACTTCCCAGATTCAATGACGTTCCATAGCTCATCCAAGGAGTCCGCCCCAGGAAACCTACAGGCCATGCCCACAATTGCAACCGCAGTATCTGGATAGCTTCTGGCTGGTGTCGAACCTATCGAAGGCTCGGTTTGATTGGACAGGCCTAGCGGTGGTCTGATTGAGTAGGGACCCAGGAACCGTGAACTTGAAAGGCACCGGACCGGGCCCAGTTCTAAAACGGTCCTTTCATCTTGTCCGGGTATGAGTTTCGATGCAACTTGGCTTACAACCAAGTGCCAGTCGGCCACCTCCGTCATGATGCACTCCAGTATTTCCTCGTGTAGTGGTCGCCCACCAAGAGTCCGGCCGTTCCGATTGGAGCATACGGGGACTACCAGCCCGTCAACCTCCGGAAACCGGAGCTTTGATTCTTGGGCGCAAAACTCCAACAACTGTTGTTTCCAGTGACTTATTGCTGGTGTGTGATAGCGGGCTCTGAGATTCAGAGGCTTCAATGTGTAGTCTTCTAAAGGGATATGTTGGCGAAGTGCTGCTACCCTTGCCGTTGGTATAATAATTGTGCAGCTTGCGTGATCGATCCTAGTTGCAACGTATGACTGTGTCTGGACATACATTAGATGAGAGAAAGACATATTCATTCGTAGAGTGCTTACGCAAGTGGCATGGGAATCATTCTCTGGAACTTGCGCGGCAGTTCCACATGGCTCATTCTTTTCGTTACATATCAGCAAACATTCTTCTGCTTTCTGAAAGAAGGGAAATGCTCACATTTATTTCTTTCAAAATGGAAGCTGCAAGGTTGACGTCTAGGTCCAAACCTCGTTGGCGGCGTAGCACGAATGCTGTAGTTGCCCCTGCTTGGGTTTGATCAAAATCCAGATACACTCCAATGCAGAACGAAAGGCGGAGGGCGACAGCAAAATTATGGACCAAGGCCGTCTCGTCCCTGGAATTCGAAACTGCGGTAGCCGGTAGTAGTCCTAGACAGAATCCCTGGCATCCGCCGTCTGAGATGTTGCCAAGTAACTGCTTGTGGGAAATATCGTTGTCCTGCAAGTACTGGAAATATTGCACCATCCCAAAAAGGACAGACAGAGGGGCTGAGATTGAATTCCAGTATTCTTTGATCTGGTCTTCAATGGCATCAAGGTCGTGCTCCAGCCAGCGTGTCAACTGCAAAGCGCACCATCTGCCAGGCGTTCTTTCAAGGCATGGCTCATGAGCCACTAGACACTGAAATAGCGAAGGCAGTTCTGAGATTGAATCCAAGAGTGGCTGTAGTTTGGGACTTTGCCGCAAAGCTGATCTGATGTCATGCAAAGCCAAACCTCTGAAGCCTTCAGAGGCCTGAGGACCAAAAAAGATAGCTTTCACAGACATGCTGGAAGGGCTTGTAGAATGATTCTCTGGCTTGGGGGAATATGAGATGAAGGCGGGAACTCTTTCGAATTTACCAAACTAAAGGTGCCAAGTTGGAGGGCGAGAAGGGTTTTGTCTCAATGAAAATTAGTCTCTAGCCTGCTCTACCGTCACTCAATATCACAAGCTTCTCAGCGCTTGTCATCTACTGCAGCATCGGAGACTTTAATTCCACTTTACAACGGTATTCCACCACTTTGAAACCCTGACCGTCCTGAAACGCACGCGAATAACTAATCAACGAAGCTCTTATCGATGAAATAGCTTGGCTGCACAACTACCGGGTTCCTTCCTTGACTCATTTCGCATTGGTTTCAGGCAGAGTCTTTGGAGATTTCGTGATGTGTGAAAATATCCGGCGGTGGGTCGTACGAGTAGCAGAGTTTACACAGGCGGCAGCATGTTTTGGGGTCGTCTACAAGGTTGCTTCAGACTTTGCTAGACGTGCCACCGAATGACCAAAGATATTCACAAGCTCCGAGGCAGGCTACTATCTCGTTCTCGCTGAAACAGGAAGTGGTCTGGGCTTAGGTTCGGGGGCTCCCGACGCAGAAAATGCCTCGCTCAATTGGGTGTACACCATCCCGGGCCGCGCCCACGGTCCAGGTGACGAGCCCAGGCTCCTAAGCCGATGGTTTGTCGATCTGTTGCCTTCCTTTGGACTACAGTTTCCTCTCACCCACACTCCCACGGCATGAAGTTTCTGCCAACAGGTGTCATATTCGCATTTAAATTCAAGATTTTCCTTTGTGGTTGGCAGTGTGATCATCTCGTCTTCAGTTCAGATCGCGATACTATTCTCCCATCTTACTGCAAGTTTTTTCTAAACCTCAGATTAGACAATTGTCACTCTGCACCTCATCATGTCACGATCTCCAGGCTCCGAATCGGAGGCTCAACAGCTTTTGGGGCTTGTTGACCTACTCCGTGAATCTGTGCTCACCGTTACGCAACAGTGGGAAAAGGAACGTAATACGTCTGTCACGGACAATTCTGCGCAGCAGACAGTGCCCAGTCAGGACTTGTTCGAGGCTCAAAGAAGAATCGAGGCCATCGCTGGCACACTCATAGCACTCGTGGCAGAGCCTTCTCACAGGATCCAGCAAGTGATGACTCTGGCTGTCCAGGCGAGAGCACTAATTCTAGCCACTGAGATGAAAATTCCAGACAAGTTGACAGCCGCTGGAAAGCAAGGAATCCACGTCAGTATGCTGTCAGAGCGTACCGGGATCGAGTCTCGCAAACTTGGTAAGTTCAGCCCAAGCCTAACAGATAACCAGCAATGGCCTTGTGGAGGCCCTCTGACGAGTGGGGTCCTTGTCCGTACAGCTCGCCTCATGCGAACCTTGTGTACCATTCACATCTTCAATGAGCCTGAAGAGAACCGCTTCACGAACAACCGCATTTCACAAGTATTAGTGGACAATGAGCCGCTGAGGGCCCTGGTGCAGTTAGCGTACGTATCAAGTAGAAAGTTTTTGGAAGGTTGTAGGCTGACGTTGCGAGAACTCACATAGGAGCATGCACTCATTTACATCTGAGTTCTTAGGTAAATACCTTCTGGGTCCGACGGGATCCTCTTATGAAAAAGACGAGACAGCGTTCCAGATTGCACTTGGCACGGACAAGACGCAGTTCGACTGGTTCGCCGAGAAAGTCACAGTTGAGGAGCTCAAACATGGAGGTCGCGGTACTGGCTACCCGGGATTCTTCTCCAGGCCCTCCAGGCCTGAAGACGGCAACTGGGAGGGGCCAGACTCCAACGGGTTGATATCCCGCCCTGAACTGGCAAACTTCGGAAAAGCGATGATTGGCAGCGGATCGGTCAATAGTCCCGCTCATGTTCTGGACTATCCCTGGAGCAACCTCGGAAACGGTGCCACCGTCGTGGACGTGGGTGGCGGGGTTGGTACGCAACACTTGCAACCTCCCAATGAGCTAGACATGTTTGATTGGCTAATGTTCATTTAGGAGGTTTCGCACTTCAAATGCTGAAAGCCCACCCTCACTTGCGGTTCGTCGTGCAGGACCGTCCCGAAGTTATCAGTCAAGGAAAGAATGAAGTCTTTCCCACTCATGCGCCGTGGGCATTGAAAGATGACCACGTCACCTTTATGGACCACGACTTTTTCCAACCCAACCCTGTTGTTGGCGCAGACGTGTATTGGCTTCGTCGCATCCTGTCAGTTCTCCATCTCCAAGAGCCTGCAACAACAGCTAATGGTCGCAAGACATGATTGGTCGGATGAGCCGTGCCTCAAAATTCTCAAAGCTCTCAAGGTCGCCATGAGACCCAATTCGAGGATCCTCCTCGCGGATTGCGTGCTAAATACTACTTGCGGATCTCCAGATGTGCCCTCGGCTCCGGATTTGTTGCCTGCCAATTATGGCTATTGGTGCCAATACAACCATGTGCTCGGGATGATTATGATGGCAGAGAATAATGGGATCGAGAGAACTGCATCCGAAATCAAAGATCTGATCACCAGGGCTGGATTGAGGATCAACAAGATTTGGCCAGTCAGAAGTCTGGTGGGCATAGTTGAGGTAATGCTATAGTCCTTGTAGCAATAGTTCAGTCTAGAAAAGTCTAGAAAAAAATATGAATACGGTTTCACGCATTAGCCCTTTGAGTATATTACAAGCCTTCAGAATGTGGCAACAGTCTAGCAACGGGAAATTCCCAGCCGTGTTAACAGCAGGCGTCTGGAATAGCTTAACAAGGTTCTTATTTCCAAGAACTCGCGGGGTAGACCCAGGCATGCTCCTGCCAGTCGGATGGATAGTTCGGCTAGGTTTTAGCTTGCAAGCATAACCATCCTTGTGGGATGTCCTGCTCCAAAGACGATACTTTTTCCTTTTGACCATCGAAGGTTATGGCCGAAAGCGGTATGCCGTCAGTACGCAAGGAATTGTCCAAAAGCGGTAAGCTGTGAGTACCACATCCAAATATTCCTTTCGTTTCAATTCTTAACAGAAAGTGGGCTTCTTTGGAAGACAATTTGCTTTCTTCGCTCATCTCAATGTGTCTCATTGTGAAGAACGTGCCCCAACTTAATTACCAGCCATCTTCGAGCATTCGGAATTGCAGCGCATTCGGAAATTTGCGAGTCAGAAGGCTACGGCGGGTAGCTCCGTAAGCTGGAAAAGCTGGGAAATTGAGGATAAAGTCTATTACGCGACATGTACCAGCAAATCATAGCCGGCATTATGAGACGAATAATGCAGGCAACTCCCTTTTCCTTCAACGCCCGTTCAAGCAAAATCAAACGTTGCCTTATAGTCGCGACGATGCACTCATGTTCTTAGCTGCTGCGGAATTCCAATTGATTGATTAGACCCGGTTCGTATTCATAAAGTTTCTACAATCCTCGTTACATACGCTGAAACTCCGTCATCGTGCGTCTGTGCGAAAGGTCTAGTGCCGTTAACCGAGTCCTCGGTTTATGGCCACATGGCAAGTTTACTGACATTTGGATTTGTGTCTTGATTCTACTTGGACACATCGTGCTCAGCATGGCGTCACCAATGAGCCTCGGAAACGACTTTCACGTTATCATCGTCGGTGCAGGACTCGCGGGGCTGTCAGCTGCTTTGTCAATCAAGCTTGCCAACCCGTCACATCGAGTAACCATTTTCGAATCTGTCGAGGAACTCAGAGAAGTTGGCGTCAGTTGGGTCGCACATTTTGCAGAGACGTCAGGCCGATGGCATCTAACTCATACACTCGCAGGCGGGCATACAGCTTACTCCCAATGGCGTACGCCTCCTTGAGAAGTGGGATGTGATGAAAGAACTGCCTACGGCATTGCCGAACACCATGAGTGTAAGACGCTACGATGGCTCGAGGCTGCTAGCACATGAGCCTTTCCTGCAGCAGCTCTTACAACGTCGCTGTGGCGCCTCGATTGTTGATGTCCACCGAGCTGACCTGCAAAACGCCATGCTCGCCAAGTGTATTGACGAACTGGGTGTCACCATAAAGCTTGGTAGCTCAGTAAAGTCAGTCGAATTCAACGAGGCCGCAGTGACTCTCGAAAGCGGTTCAACAATTCACGGGGACGTTGTTCTTCTCGCAGACGGCCTGTGGTCAACAATTCGCAGCGAGTTCGCCGGGAAGGACCATCCGCCTATCGCGACGGGAGACTTGGCGTATCGACTTCTTATCTCCGTTGACGAGCTCAGCGGCCCCGATGAGGACGAGCTACGAGAATTCATCAGCCGTCCTGCTTTGAATTTCTGGATTGGACCGTCTTCCCACGTCGTTGGGTATTCCTTGCGTGAAGGAACCATGTTTAACTTGGTCTTTCTTCGACCGGACGACTTGCCTGATGGAGTATCTAGGACTGGTGGGACTCAAGCCGAGATCAGCTCTGCACTTCCCTGGGACCCTTTGCTTGTGAAATTTCTACAGGCGAGCAAAGAGGTGACCAAGTGGAAGCTGATGTGGGCTAAGCCTCTGTCCCAGTTGGCTAATGACAGCGGGACGTTCTTCATGGCAGGAGATTGTTGCCATCCCATGCTCCCATACCTAGCGCAAGGGGCGAACTCGAGTCTAGAGGATGGCGCCGTACTAGGACATCTACTTGGCAAGGTTTCAAAAGCAAACAAGACCAAGCTTCTTCCTGTGGTTGCGAGGGTGTATCAGCGTTTGCGAAATGACAGAACCCGCTGGATTCAGGAGGAGGCATTCCGCCAACGGGACGCACTCCATCTTTCCGATGGCGAGGAACAGAGGGAGAGGGACAGAGACATGGTCGGACAGCTGGGAGTTGAAATACGGGGGCCGTTTCCAATAAGGTTCTTTTGTCCTGAGGCCCAGCGCCTGATGTTTGCGTACGACGCATATGAGCAAGCTGAGAGGGGTTGGGACAATGAATCCAGCACGTTATGTTAGCTTGTGATTTGTATCGGTCTCGCAATTCTCGCAAATCCATACGTTCATTCGTAACGTACTGTAGTTCTTCTGGAATTCAAGCTAGGCCCGTCGGTCTTGAAATTACTCCAGCGCATTGGACTGAATCTATGCCAAAGAGGCCATCGGCGGCTCTAGGCAGGCTTCCGAGACCCGAAAGTGCCAATGAAATCAGCCTCCAAGAGTCTAGGCATCGCGCATGCCTGTGGAGACAGAGGTCAGGAGAAATATTCCCCGCGCCAAGAATAGCCAAGGTCGGGTAGAAGGAAGGAACAAAACTCCATCAATCAACTCGACGAGGACTCTTCTCCAAGATACCATGGCCCACATAGCGTCCTGGGCAACCAAAGCCCCAGTCCTCAAGTAGGAAAGTGTACCAATGTGGGTTCGTTGTGATACATGAGATTGCGTGAGCCGCAGGTGTGTATAAAATGGACTCTATATTGCTCAATAATCCACACTTGGTTCAACGGCAGCAAGTTATCATCAAGATGAAACACTTTGCTGTGGCTCTTTTGGTCATCCTTAGCAACGTCCTCTACACGTCAGGGCTGAATGTACCTCGTACAGCTGAAGAGTTTCGCCTTAAGCATCCTCTGCCCAAGAGGACTATCCCATGCCGCGCATCTTTTACGCCGAAATCATCGGCGAACGATACTGACGACGTCGCTGACTCCTTTTTAGACGCTGTTATGCGTGCTAATAATGGAGGGGCTGTGTATCTTCCTGCAGGTCAGACATTTGTGATCGGCAAACCACTTGACTTGACATTCCTTCATGATGTCCACATCCGCCTTGAGGGGACCATCAAGTTTACCGACGACGTCGAGTTTTGGCAAGCCAACGCTTATCAGCATCCGTTTCAAAGATCACTGATGTTCTGGAAATGGGGCGGTAAAGACGTATGGATCCATGGCGAGGGTGTCATTGACGGCCAAGGGCAAAGGTGGTGGAATGAATTCTCTGGACAAGAGTAAGCAACTTCAGTCTCGTGCAAAACATGGAATTGACTCTTTGGACCAGAATCTTAGACCCAGACAATGAGTATCTTAGACCCATTCTCTTTTATGCGGAGGGTATTGAGAATTTAATCGTTGAGGGAATTCTGATGAAAGATTCCCCAGTTTGGCATAATTTCATTGTTAATTGTAAATCCACCTCTCTATCGAAGACACGGCCGCAGATACTGATATTCCTCAGCCAAATACATCACATACCGCGATGTCATCGTTGAGGCAAAATCGAACAATGCCACAGTCGAACCAAAGAATGGCGATTTTTTCAACTCGCTGAACGTTGAGCATATTCGTATCGAGCGCGTTTGGGTTGACTCAGATGACGATTGCTTCTCGCCGAAGAGCAACAATACAGACATCCATGTCAATACGATGTACTGTAACAACTCTCATGGGCAGTCACTCGGGAGTCTTGGACAGTATGCGGGAGAGTACGTCTTTGTGAAGGACGTTGTGATTGAGAACGTCTGGATGCTGAACGGAAACAATGGTGCCCGCATCAAGGTCTGGGCTGGGGAAAACGTCGCGACTGGGTTTGTGGAGAATGTGACATTTCGAAACTTTTGGACTGAGAATGACGACTGGCCTATCTTCTTGGACAGTTGTTACTTCAACGTTGACTCGGAAACTTGTAACCGCTTTCCAAGCAAGATGAAGGTCAGTAATGTGCTCTTCGAAAACTTCCGGGGTATCTCAAGTGGGAGCAAGGGGAGGGCTGTTGCAAGGGTGAGTTGCTCAACGAATGAAGAGGGACGATGCAGGGATATCAAGTTCAAGGGGTTTGACGTGCAGAGCCCTTGTGGTGGGGAGGCGGTGGTAATCTGCGATGGTGTTGACGGCGGCCTGGGCATTCCCTGTGTCCCTTTTGAGAGTGAAGAGGCGCAGTCGGCACTGAAAGACGTATGCGAGCGTGGAAAGGCCACAATTGACCCTCCTTGGGATGTACGAGATTACGGAGCAAGAGGTATCATCTACAATCCCAAGACATAGCCTTCGAGTTTTTCAGGCCTATGGGTATGTATAATAGGTGGCATCATTCACAATTTGGATTTCGACCGTCACCCTCCCTAGTTGTCTTTGTTAAAGCGTAGGAAACCTCAAGACTTCAAAATGTGCGATGCTTTCGCGATTGGCGTCTGCCTCACTACTTTATTATCGCGCCCCCGTCTCTATTTGCTGCAACAGAAACACTTTTGACTCAAAGTCATCAAAATAATGTGGCTCTTTTTTAAACTCCAGGTATCATGTCGACATGTTTTGGCTCCACAAGCAACCAGGATCGCCGCTACTCCTAATGGAGTTTAGCACAGGATGATGACGCACACGAACCAACCATCCATAGTCGCATCACGATTTCTTTAAAGGGCGGTCGGCTATCGTCTTACCCGATCGCGTCAGACTGAGCCTTGTGGAATAGCCTACCTTCCAGCACGATCGCAAGCACAATGACCTTAGTCCAAGAATTTCGGTCTTGGATCACCCCTGCTCAAGGCCCGGTTTCTGCATCCACAGAATTGGGACATGCGGCGCCGGCTACGTCGCAAGTGCCGTTCCCTCGCTCCGACTCCAAGCCCACCGTAATTGCCTTCCTCCGGCATTGCGGCTGTCCATGTGCGTCCATTACCCCTGCTGCAAGACTACTGCCAATACTAATAACACAAGTCGCCGAAAAGACCTTCCTTCGACTTCGAGACGCAGCTGACAGAAATCCCGAAGTCAAATTCATCGCTGTGTCCCATTCCTCAGAGCTACATACGTCAAAATGGCTTGCGGAAGTCGGAGGGGCTGGAGACACCAATCCGGTTGACGTCGTCGTTGACGAAGACCGCGCTGTGTACGCCAAGTGGGGCCTTGGCATATCCTCTTTCCTGCACGTCCTGAGCCCGGGAGAATTGAGTGAAGTCTTCAGTCTGGCATGGAACGAGGGTATCAGAAACAGGCCAACAGAGAGCGGAAATCGCTGGCAAACCTCTGGAGCTTGGGCAGTCAATGAGCGTGGAATTATCGTTTGGGGGCATGCGGCCAAAGGAGCTTCCGAAATTCCGGACTTCGACGAAGCTGTGACGCAAGTGTAGACAGAGAATGGTGAGTAACCCGCTCATTCTCTACACTCATGCTTCTCTGCCTACATGTACGAAAGCAATGATGGAAGTAGACAGAAAAAAAAAAAAAAAAAAAANAAAAAAAAAAAAAAAAAAAAATTAGCAATGATTCGCCTCTTGGCTCGTTCAAGCGTCGCGTCTCTCCTTGGAAATAATTATCTGCGTGTTTGCTTCGCCTTTAGCTCACTGACAAGAATTCAACCTTAAGAGGCCTATGTTGAACCCTCGGAAGATGTCTAACTTTCGCGCTACATAAGTACCAAGCTTCAGGTGTGGTCTCTGCTGTGTTTTAGCAGTCTGCTTTTCCAATCTCTGAATACCTTCGTTCGATTTGTTGCCTGGTTAAGTACTATTTTCTTGCTGTCACTTGGAGATTATTAGTCATACACAGCACTGCGTCCTTCGCCTCTTGAACTAGACTTCACTCCTTGTTTGTGGACATTCGATGCGAACATTGCCAAGCCACAGGCACACAAAGCTGTGTGCGACAGTGATGAGGAGTCATGCGGCAGATCCATTATTTTTTGCCGTACTTGACCATCAAAGAGTACGAAAAGTGGGAAGTTCTTTCGGTAATCATTACTGCGTATTGGCATCCCCTAAACGCTGCAGCATGGCGTCTGGGATCTTCGAAGAGAGCCTCCCGGCCCATCCCCGATTGGTTCTTCGTGCCAATCGGTCAGGGATTCGTTACCAACATTGGCCCACAGCTCCTCGTAAACCCGTCCAATCGTCGAAGCAGTCTTTTTTTGCCACCCAAAAGCTCATTTCCGAACTCAAAATGTTTGGAAACCACGTGATGGTTCATTGGCGCGGGGGCGCGCACATGGATCTACGCAGTACTCCGTATCGCCGTTAAATGAGCTCTCGAGTCTGGTACTTTTGTAGGTTGACTGTTGGTTTTGCCATTCCAACAATGTAGACGCCGCAACGCGTGTGTAAGTCCACAGCCAACGAGCCGTGCTTCGTTGATTTCATGGACATTGTTCTATTGGCGTCGACCCTTGTCAAGGGACTTGTTTTGGAGATGGCTGCTGTTGGCGGTGGTGGGGGTCCGACTGTCCCGGTCAGTTGAACCCCCTGCACCGTTAGGCGGCACAATCAATGTCCGGGACATAGAGCAAACATTGTTTTCGGCCTGAAAGTGACACTTAAGATGATTTGGGCAGTTCTATTAGTTACCGGAATTCCTGCCCAAAACCTGCAATGCCACTGCCTGCCTTCTTCTACAATCATGGCTGCATCGCACGAACCTCTGATCCTAGGAAAATCGTCAAGATGGCGCAATTCAACCAACAATGTCTGGAGCAAGCCCACGCGAAGGCGAGCTGCAAATCTGCCTCTTCTTCGTCGCGCCCTCCTATGATCGTACGCATCCCACCCGAGGCGACACCGGAGATCATCCGCCCGAAGCTACTTGTACTAGAGCCACCGTACGAAGGACCCAACGTGCATGAAGTAGGGGTTAAAGGTTCGTGAATACTTTTCCAGTGGTTACGTTGAGTATCTGATTCAATCTCGCAGCTGTAGGGAGGTTCATGCCGGCCTCCCACTCTCTCAATTGCACTAAAAAGTCCTCTGAAGGAAGCGGCCAACGAGGTCCAGATTTGTGGCCATTATGGTCATGGGTAAGCTAACAGCTTCATCAAGATTGGTGCCTGGGGATCGATGCGGCTTGAATTCCTTTTCTTATTCTTGCGCTTGCACTGGTGTTTTCTTATCCTCATGATGAAAGACCAAGTTTGGCGGTCGGGGTTCGCAGTCGAACGGAGGGCTCACGTGGTTTGTTGAGTTGGCACTATGAATGTTTGATTCGCTTTATGGATTTCTAGAGCAACTCAAGGGAAATGGGAGACTCGGGAATGAAAAATGCGTTATTCAATTTTACTCTAATCTGGAAGTTGTGCAGCACCGTGTCGGGCAACGGCTTGACATCAACTCATCTGCTACTGCTTCTTTGGGGGCAGCACCGTCGGAACCGGGGGACGAGTAGTAGTTCTTGGTAACTCCGGAACAGCAGGTGTCGGGATACAAGCACAAGCGCTGCTGACCTGTGCAACAAGACTCTTATCCTCTCCGCCGCATGCCTCGGCAGCATACCCGGGCACAAGGATGTCGTCGGTGTTGAGGCGCTGGGTGTAATTGCCACAGAACTCTCCAGACTCCTCTAGGCGATCAGGAATGTGTGAGGCCCGCAATGCCCGAAGGCAATTATCGGCGTTGCAGACGGGTGCTTTTGGGCATTCCTTGGATGTCATCTTGACCACGAAACTGCCGCGCTCGATTGTGTGTACGAAAATGAAGCCGGACTTGAAGTTGGCAAACGAGGACCACGATCCGAGGAACGCAACTGTGCCACCACCTTCGTTCTCATCATCTTCGGGATAAATGTCGAAAAAGCCAGCCTCGCAGATGCTGCTACCCGTTGGGTCCTTAGTAACACTGCTGACGTCAAGCACGTTTAGCCCATTCCCGTAGTTTGACTGATACAAATAACCATTCACCATGTACTGGTTATGGTCAATAGACCTAGTCTTCCCAGCGTAGTGCCCTACATAGACTGGAGCTTCCAAGTTGCGGATGTCCATAATGTGGGTTGTGGGAAGACCTTGCGTCATTGGGCCGACCTTGGCATCCCTCTCGTCGAATTCGTCATCAATGAACAGGTACTCTTGCCAGGTCTCGTTATTGACGACGCCTTGATGTACATACTGCGCACCAGGGTAGTCCGTAATTGAGATGATGTTTGTGGTGTTACCGTTCTTATCAGTGACGTCGTAGATGGTCAGAGTATCCTCATTGTAGCCATAGCAGATGTCTCTTCCATAGTACCGATGGTCTGGGCCACGATATACTAGACACTCAGCATCATGCACATAACCATCCCCCGCAGCGCAGCCAGGGCTTGTAATGTTGGTCGGGTCGCTGATGTCGAGAAAAATCAGACCGCCCCGACAGGGCAGATCGTCTCGCACCCGAATGGTTTCGTTTCCGCCCACAGAGCCACAAGCAATGGCATAGTTGAGTTCGTGATTAACGACGATGTTGTGAGTACGCCCCATGGGGAGCTCGTCCCAGTGCCCAGTAAGCTCTTCCTGAGTGAAGTTCTTCGGGTTCGCGGGATCTAGATCAAGGACCTTCTTCATGTCGAAGAACTGCACTCCATGGTGAATGGCCTCGGACCCAATCACGGCAATATCACCAACGATACGTATTTCGCGCCATTGCGAGCCGATTCGATCGTATTGTGGGAGACGGCCGAGGTAAACCAGCTTTCCCTCCTCTGAGATCTCTGCAAAGGCGGTGCCGTCGTACTGGCCAATGGCGACAAATTCTCTACCATCTGCTGAAGTCCAGCCCCAGGAAGAGGAGCCACGCCCACCCCAGCTGCCAAGCGCTTCGTGTGAGAGGAAATGATAAAGGTCGATCTTCATTAATTAGCAATGAGAAGCTCTCCACGTGCGGGCATGCAATAAGCCTACGTTGTTACACCTGAAGGTATTATGGAAATCTCCAGGGACCGCCTCAGCAAACCCGTTCACACACGGGGTATATCCGAGCTCAGGATACTGAGAACTATCCATTTCGCCAGCGGCGATCTCAGCCTCCCATTGAGCCTTTGGGTCTGTCAGCTAAAGCACTCTGATCAGGCATTGATCGCACACACCATCTTGATTCCCATGATGCGGCGATGCACCTCGCCAGAGTCATACTCTGCTTTCGTACCTGCCCCAGCCGCATTGGTTAATCTCAACAGAGACCAGCCGAGGACGGCTGCGGCATGAATGTGCACCATTTCAACGAACCAAATAAGTGACAATAGCGAGAGCTACCAAGAGATGAGCTGCTTGTACGAGCCAATGAAGATCAAATTACCCGAATACCATGTTTCAATGAAGCGGCACCGCCGGCCTTTAAGTATTGGGAGTCTATGTATCACGCTTCGGACATTACGGGTTAGGTACCAAGAATCAACAAGATCTGTAAATTAACTATTGCCAATCAAAGACGGAGTGCGGAGAGCTCAGAACAAGACCTTATTTTCATTCTCACATCAGCCAAAATCCGACCAGAGAGAATCACGCAAGATTTGATACCACCTCAGGGCTTGGCTGATGAAACATAGCTGCTAAAAGAAGCTAAGTTGATCTTGGACGACTATCACGCTGACCTTGGCAGCCTTGGCATAGTCGTTTGGACGAGTTATCAGCTGGGACTACTGCGAGCTTCGCCTCAGAATCCCCGCATTGAACACGCACACATGTTTTTTTGTAGCTTGGCTTTACAGTTGCGGTAGGTGGTTACGGCCTTGGCTATTCAACTAGGCACTTGGCCGTTGATAAGAGAGAAAGAAACGCTGCTCTTCGCCGCAGTGATGATTGAAAGATGGCTTGCCGCACAGCCAACTCGTTAGCTCGCAACCTCAAACAAGAACCCATTCTACAGCAATGAAAGTCGGTTCGAAATTAAGTGCTCCCCAATTGGTTCCGCCGCTTGCGGCCAATCTCTGGTCTCGATTTCATCAAAAAGTAAAAGGGCACTCACTAGCTTGCAAATGAAGTTCGATTCCTCTGCCCCACCACGTCGCCCTGGTTTACCCAATCATCAATCCAGGTCCCTTCTTCTTATTTCTACCACCATCATGGTCGACGCCTGCCAGGAATTCTGCTTCAAAAACTTAGCCGGCAGTACATTCATATCATGTCTGAGGCTTGCGCCGAGGCGCATTTCGCTGCGTCTGTCCACGCGATGCCAACACTCATTGGGAAATGCTGGATGATTTTGCTTGACGCAGTCCTCCTTGACATCGGAGGAACTGGGGTCGCCGACCCAGCCAACCGTCATCGTTACGTGTCGCTTCTTCTTGCCGCGGCGCCGAGCAAGCCAGTGATTTCTTGATGGTTCGAATGTGCCAAAAGATGGCACATTACCTCTGCGCGATCCACATGAGCAACGCAGTACGCGCCCCAGGC